CTTTTTCCATGTTTTTTTTCTCAGGGGATTAATTGATCCAGCTGGAATTTTGGAAAAAGTGGGAGAACCTCTCCAAATGGATGAATCCAATTTTTTTTTTTTTTTTTTTTTTAATCCCTGTTTTTTTTCCCTCTTAGAATTGTTGGAGGAATTTTGTCCCCTGGTGGAAAGGCTGGGCTTGGATGAGAATTTTGTGGATATCACGGAGCTGGTGGGGAAAAGGCTCCAGCAGCTGGAATTTGGTCATTCCCAAATCCAAGCGTGCGGCCACATCTACAACCAGCAAGGTGAGTCCAACATTCCCATTTTTTCCAGGAAAAAAAAAAATAAAAAATAAGGGAATAATCTGATTTTTTTGCTCAATTTTTCCCGATTTTTTTTTTTTTAGGGATTAATTTACAGGATCCACGCCACCTCCAACTCATCCTGGGCTCCCAGGTGGCTCAGGAATTCCGGAATTCCCTAAAAAGCCGGCTGGGCCTCACCGGTTGCGCCGGGGTGGCTCCCAGTAAATTATTGGCCAAACTGGTCTCGGGCACCTTCAAACCCGACCAGCAAACGCTGCTTCTCCCAGAAAACCACCAGGATTTGTTATCCAGCTTGGAGCACATCCAAAAACTCCCAGGTGAGCTTTCAAAATTCCTGGAAAATCTCTCGGTTGAGTGGTTTGTTTTTGTTTTTTTTTTTGGGAATTTGATGGATTTCTCCATTCCAGGGATCGGCCACCGGACGAGCCAACGCTTGGAATCGTTGGGAATCAGGACGGTGAGGGAGCTCCAGGATTTTCCAGGGGTTCTTTTGGAGAAGGAATTCGGTTTTTCCACGGCTCAGAAACTCCGGAAAATCAGCTCGGGGGAAGATGATTCGCCGGTGATTCCTTCGGGACCTCCCCAGGTACCAAAAATCCTGATTTTCCCAGGGGGATTTTCCAGCTTTGACTAAGATTTAATGGAATTTGGGAGCCAAACCTGCCATTCCAAGGATTTCTCCTCCTCTTTTTCCAGTCTTTCAGCGACGAAGATTCCTTCCCAAAATGCTCCTCGGAAGCGGAAGCGAAGGAGAAACTCCGCCAGCTCCTTCCCAACCTTTTGGACAGGTGAATATTCCCGAAAGGAATAAACAGGGAGTTCTTTTTTTCTCTGGAAAAACTTCCTAATTGTTGGTTTCTCTTTATTTTTTCCACAGGATATCCAAGGATGGGCGGCAACCCCACACCGTGAGGTTGAGTATCCGGAGGTTTTCCAGCCGGGATCGAGGGATCCAGCGGGAAAGCCGGCAGTGTCCCATCCCGTCCCACCTCATTCCCAAATTTGGGAAGGGTAAGACTTCCCTTCAGGGTTTTTTTTTTTTGGGATAAAACAGCTTCTGGAATTTGGGAATTCCACCAGGGAAGCGACCTTTAATTCCTTAATGGAATCCTGGAATTCCGTCCATCGGCCCAACGGAATTCCCAAATTTCAATTCCCGCTTTTCCTGGCATTGGAAGGGATTCCTAATCCCCAAAAAATCCCTTTGGAATTCCTGCTCTGGGAGCAAATTTCCCCCTTGGAAAAAAAAAAAAAAACCCTAAACCAAAACTCCCCCTTTGGATTTGATCCCGAATTTAATCCCCAAATTTTCTCCCAATTTTCTCCCAAATCTTCATCCAATCCCTTCCCGATTTTCCTTCCATCCATGGATTTTTTTTTTTTCCCCTCAGGAAATTCCACCCTCATCCCCCCTCTCCTCGAGATCCTGATGAAACTCCTGGGCAAAATGATCCCGCTGGAATTCCCATTCCATCTCACCCTGCTGAGCATCAGCTTTTCCAACCTGAAGGAAATTCCCAACCGGAAAAATTCCATCAGTTTCTACCTGAAACCCTCGACTTCCAAGGTGAGTGGGGGAGAAAAAATTGGGAAGAAAGGGCTGGAAAATCTGGGAATTCTTGGTTATTCCACCTGGCTTGGAAGGGATTTGAAGGATCAGGTTGTTCCAAACCCAGCCCAGAAGTTTTTAGGGATTTGGGAATCTTGGAATGTTTCAAATCAGGAGGGATTTTAAGGATCATTTCCCTCTAAATCCCGGGAATTTTTCCCACTCTCCCAGATTTCCTTATCCCAGAAATTTCATGGAATTTTTTGTGTTGTCACAGGAAGAAAAAGAGGGAATTTCCTCAGCGAAAATCCGGAGAATTCCCGAGGAAATTCCAGCTTTTCCAGGGCCTTCATCCGCAGGAACTTCAGGAATGCCATCCCAAGGAAAACCAGCAGGAATTTTCCCCCCTCCAGGGGTGGATCCCGAAGTTTTCTGGGAGTTGCCCCCGGAATTGCGGGAAGAGGTGGCGGCCGAGTGGAAAAACCGGGAAAAAAACCCTCAAAATTCCCGGGAAAATTCCCAAAAAACCCTCAAAGGGAAGAGGAAAAATCCGGGATCGTCCCAATCCAAGAGTTTGCTGGATTATTGGAAGGGCAGGTGAGAGGATTCCAAGGAAATTCCTGGGAATTCCGAGGGAAAAAGGAGTTTTGGGGATGGTTTTTTTTTTCCCAAGTTTTTTTTTTGGGAATGTTGGGGGAATAAAATGTTGGAGTTTGGAATTCTGCAGGTTTTATTCCTAAAAATCCTTAGGAAGTTGGGAATTTCCTTCCTTTTCCCATTTAATGTTGGGATTGAATTAACATTTAATCTTTCAGTTGGATTAAATGTAATTAAATATGGTAATTAAATAATTAATTGCTTTTTAATTAATTTTAATAAACTGAATTTACCTTGAGAATAATTTAATTTAAAATTAATTTTAATTTTTTTAAGGAGATAACTTTATCGTATTTATTGTTATTTATTTGTTGTATGAACTAAATTATTAATAAAGTCAATTTGTTACCTTTAATTGCTGATTGAAATTTATTGAGTCGGTTGAATTGGTGTTCAAAATCATCGCAGTTGGAAATCAGGAAGTTAAAGATAAAATTATTAAATTTATTAATTAGGTACATAATTATAATGGTTATAATTATTAAATACTTTTAGTAATTATTAATTCAAGGGAATTAATTTTTAATTATGGAAGTAATAATTATGATTTATCACATTAATTATTTATTAAAATACCTATAATAATATTAAAATTTATTTCTTCCATTTAATTTACTCAACTAAGTGTATTGGGTTGATCGAATTGATGAATTAAAAATCATTACAGGTTGAAATTATTAAAAATAAAGTTACTAAAATTATTTATTAAATAATTATAATGATTAAATATTTTTAGTAATTATTTATTTAAGCTAATTAATTTTCAATTATTTAAGTTAACCTGAATTTGAATTACTGAATAAGCGTTCCATTTATCAAATTAAATTCATTAAATATTAAATTTATTCAATTAAACTTACAAAATATTAAATTTGTTAAATATTAAATTTACTCAGTTAAATTCATTAAGTTCATTAAATATTAAATTTACTCAATTAAACTCATTAAATAAATTCAATAAATATTAAATTTATTGAAGTAAATTCATTAAATTAAATTCATTAAATATTAAATTTATTCAATTAAATTCATTAAATTAATAGGGTTAGGAGATTAAGTTGCTTATTAAATTAATATATTTAATAATTTATTAATAATTGAATTCTGTTATACGTAAGCATTAAATTTATTCAATATGAGTATATTAAATATTATATTTATTAAATTAAAATAATTCAATTAAATTTATTCCTTTTAAAATCTAATAAATTGAATTTATTAAATTCATTAAATATTAAATTTATTCAATTAAATTTATTAAATTATTAGGCTTAGGAGACTAAGTTGCTCATTAAATTAATATATCTAATAATTTATTAATAATTGAATTCCATTATATATAAGCATTCAATTTATTCAATATGAGTATATTAAATATTACATTTATTAAAATAATTAAATTAAATTTATTCCATATTAAATAATGAATTTGAATTTATTAAATTAAATTTCTTGAATTAAATTGATTAAATTAGATTTATTAAAATAATAGGCCTAATGAATTAATGTGCCTCATAAATTAATACACTTAATAATTTAATCCATTAATAATTGAATTTATTACCTTAAATTAATGTCAATTAATTCAAATAAATTAAATTAACCACAACTCTCATTCCAGGGAATTCCTGGAAGGGCAAAAGGCGGAGCTGCCAGCCAGGAAATCCTCGAGAACGAGTCAGGAATGACGTCAGCAATGACGTCATTGCCGCGGGAATGGGCGAAAATTCCTGCCTCAGGTACCTTTGATCCCAAAAATTTTCCTCTTGGTTGGTTTTCCAGGAATTCTTCCCGTTAATTAAAAGATTGTTGAATTTGATTTTAATGTTTGGTTTATTTTTAGTTTATTTGATTTGAATTTTATTTTGTTTGAGTTTGATTTGAATTTGATTTCATTTCGATTTTATTTGGTTTGGATTTTATTTGATTTGAATTTGATTTGAATTTTAATTTATTTTAATTCTATTTAATTTAACTTTATTTTGACTTTATTTGATTTGAATTTGACTTGATTTTAATTTTATTTTATTTTCATTTGATTTTATTTGAATTTTATTTCTTTCTTTTTTCATTTTTGAATATTTTATTTAATTCTAATTTAATTTTATTTAAACTTTATTTTATCTGAATTCTATTTTATTTTTATTTTTATTTTATTTTGAGTTTGATTTAATTTTCGTTTTATCCTGGAATTTTATTTTATTTTCATTTTATTTGATTTTCATACCATTCTTCTTCATTTTAACTGATTTTAATTTGATTTTATTTTGATTTTAATTTGATTTTATTTTGATTTTTATTTTATTTTTATTTTATTTTCATTTTATTTTATTATAATTGTTTAAAATTTTATTTAATTTTAATTTAATTTATTTTCATTTTATTCCCCTTTTCCCCCCTTCCTCCTTCTCCTGATTATTGCTGATTATTGCTGATTGTTGCTGATTATTGCTGATTGTTGCTGATTGTTGCTGATTGTCGCTGATAATTTTCCAATTGCAGCTGAATCCGAACCCGGAAGAGGAATAAAAAAAAAAACCCGGAGCCAAAGTCCAAAGTTTGGGGAATTCCCACCTTTTTTCCCACATTCCCAACCCGGGAATTTTGGGATTCCGGCTCGGGATGAGCCAGAATTTCCAGGAACAAATTCCCACCTTTCAGGTCAGGTCATTTCAATTTTTATTGCTTTGGATTTGGATTTTCTTGGAATTTTTTTTTATTATTTTATTTTTATTCGATTGGAATTTTATTTGGTTTGAATTTTATCTGAATTTTTTAATTTGATTTGATTTGGGGTTTATTTTAATTTTATTTGAATTTTTTAATCTTTTTTATTTTATTTCGAATTTCTTCTTTGAATTTTTTTATTTTATTTTATATCGATTTTTATTTTATTTGAATTTCCTTTTGTTTTTATTTTACTTGACTTTTATTTCAATTTGATTTCATTTGAATTATTTTATTTTATTTGGATTTTTTTGGAATGTGATTTTATTTGAATTTTTTTAATCTATTTTATTTTTAATTTGATTTCATTTGAATTTTTAAATTTTATTTTGTTTTAATTTTATCTGAATTTGAATTTCATTTTATTTGACTTTTTTATTTGATTAGATTTTTATTTTTATTTTATTTGAATTTGAGTTGCTCTGAATTTTATTTCAATTTGATTTTATTTGAATTTGATTTGCTTTGAATTTTATTTCAATTTGATTTGGTTTGAATTTTTTTATTTTATTTTGCTTTGATTTGATTTCAGGTTCATTTTGTTTTAATTTTATTTGAATATTAATTGAATTTCATTTTACTTGAATTTTTTTATTTAGTTTTATTTTTATTTTATTTGAATTTAACTTTATTTTAATGTTTTGTTCTATTTTTATTTTATTTGACTTATTTTATTTTTATTTTTATTTTTATTTTTATTTTTATTTTTATTTTTATTTTATTGGAATTTTATTTTATTTGAATTTTTTTGTTCTATTTTTATTTTATTTGAGTTATTTTATTTGATTTTGATTTTTATTTTGATTTTATTTGAATTTAATTTTATTTTAATTTTTTTGTTCTATTTTTATTTTTTTGAGTTATTTGATTTGATTTTGATTTTGATTTTATTTGAATTTTATTTTATTTTAATTTTTTGTTCTATTTTTATTTTATTTATTTTATTTGATTTTGATTTTGATTTTATTTGAATTTTATTTAAATTATTTTATTTTATTTGATTTTGATTTTGATTTTATTTGAATTTCATTTTATTTAAATTATTTTATTTTATTTTGATTTTTTTTTATTTTATTATATTTTGATTTTTTTGAATTTTATTTGATTTTTTTATTTTCTTTTATTTTTATTTCAATTTAATTTGATTTTAATTTTACCTGAATTTTATTTTAGTTGAATTTCTTGATTTTATTTAATTTTAAAATAAAAAAAACCCACAAAAACCAAACCAAAAAAACCTTAAAAAATCCAATTTTCCCCCCCAAAACCAGGAAAAAAAACCAGGAAAAATCTCCATTTCCCCCCAATCCCGAGGAGTGGCCGGGAGGGGTTGTTTTTGCTGATGATTTCCTGGAGCTGATTTGCATAAAAAGGAGGAACTTCCTCCATCCCCGC